TACCGTCTCTTCTCTGAAAAGCTCTGTAAAACAAACTTAGGAAAAAACTCTCCCCTACATAGAATGGTAACACTTTACAACGATAAGTTCGATGATATTGATTTATTCAATCATACATTACATGTATTCAAATCTAGGATAAAAGAAAAATACTGAACTTTACAGTTGACATCATTAAAATATTTCATAGATTAGTATTAGTTTAAGCTAAAAATGTAATACATATATATATATATATATAAGTTACACTTCTGTACGCTCTATTGTATCCGTGGATAACACTTTGGGTTATGCCTGTTGTTATCCTATATGATTTCAATAAATAAATAAATAAATAAATAAAAATCGGCCTAACTGTTAGATGTTTTCAGTTTGTAGTCGTCGTTCGATTCCCATGTGAAAAGAGATCACAACAAATCCATTCCAAAGCATATTCGATATTGAGGTCAAAATATTGTGGAATCTCCGTTCATGCACCAGCACCCGTTCGGAAGATAAGACGCCAAATTCCAAATTTATTTATGTTATGACGGCTAGCAGCTGTTTTTTGTGTGGTGAATCAGAAAAATTAATTATTATCGACATATTCTCAATATATCTTCATCATTATTATGACTTTGTTCCTTATTGTTTGTTCACTTCATATGTCGAATCAATATTCGTGTTGCCCCTTCATTTTATCAATATATATATATATTTCCACAAGTGTGTAGCTATTAATCAGTTCCTATCCTCCACTGAACAAACTTGTAATGATTTCCATGAAACCTGGATCAGCCTGGACTAATAGTAAAAATCACATGAGTATACAAGTAATAATCTGATGCAATACATATAATAAATTGTGGAGTTGATTGGGAGTGATCAAATATACATGCTTGAGTACAAAGGTAAATGCGAATGAACACTTATGTTAAAATGTTTAGTATATCTGTTATAATCCTGAAAATCACATGATGATATGAGAAATAAACTGATGGGAATATATTATTGGAAATTCACATATTTAAAGTTAAGTGATGATTTTACATCGCATTGAATCAGGTAAGTAACCCATATGAATACATGTAATATGATGAAAATCATTATTTTTCCGACAAGTGCACAAAGTGATACCTACTTATTCAACTACTTGTCGATTGCTTGCCCGAACTCCGCTTGGCGTCGTTCGGATCAACGGCAGTCGAGTGCGGATACATGCAGTCGAGCATGAGTTAGGAACCATATTTTTTCTACGAACGTAGGAAATTGATTGATTTGTTTAATTAATTATTCCTGCAAATATAAACAACTAACAAGAGTGATATATTCCCTATCTTCTTATTATTAGTAATAACCATGATGAATCTACAGTTTGACGCATTATGTAAGTTCATGACAGATGCCAGCATGCCTATAAGATGTTTGGCCTCTAGGTTTCAGACATTCGTAGAAAATGAGCCAAAAATATTACTACTTCAATTGGTGTTTTATTTTTTAATTGTTGTATCATTCAATAAAATGCGTGTATTGCTTCTCATACCATCGATCCTTAAGACTTCGTTGGCAATAACGCATCTGATGTATCTCCGACAATGGGGAAGACCACTGAGAGAAGAAATCCGTGCAAACCTCTTTCAATCGACGAATCATGATTTACGTTTGATGTACAATCAATATTATGAGTTAAAGATGAAGGGAATCGAATCTATATCGTTTTGAAATCAGCATATTTCATTCGATATTTCAAACAGCCAAATATGATGGTGGAGTCGTGACGTATTAGTCCCGAGCTGTAGCTATCTCTCTCTGATACCTCGTCATACTGCAGTGTTGCAGTGTGATTGGTCAGTTCAAGGACAATAGGCGTGTTGGGAATAAGACGTCGCACCAGTCACACCAATGAATTGACAAAATTTCAAATGGCGCAGAAATTGTGTGTTTTGAAATGGACATATTCTAATTTATTTTTCCCATCGTCTTAGCATGAATGAAAACATTCAAAATTAATTCGCTGGTAGTTTTTCAGTATAGAGTTCACGATAATGTCATTTTAAAAAATCAGTGGTCTCCCCCATTACAAACTAATTTGTGATTTGATTCGAGGTTTGATTGACAAGACAACACTAATTGTTTCCCACACCAGATCAATCCAAGTCTATAGGGGGACTTTATTAACAATCAATTTTTATTTTTCAATATTTTTTAATTTTCACTATAAATAGTGCAATTCGATGGATGATTCTGAACAAACATACGTAATACTGCAACAAACAAGCTCAAACTTCCATATTCCACCACCAACCACTCATATTTTGCGATATTATTGTTTTTCCCGCACTATAGTGTGGGAAATTTTTCCGCACTGTTGCGGGAAACTGACACTACCCAAACTGAATTGCGTGCGGGTGTAAGGTCAATCACGCACGCTTTAAAAAAAAAAGTTGAAGTCTATATTGTTGAGTCTTTTGATGCTGCTTACCCAGGTAGCAAAAAGATGTCCTGAAGATATCTCGAAGATATCCTTCTAGGACATTGTGATGCCTTTTGTAACTTCTTCAAGAGGTCGCCAAGAGCGCTTTATCGCATCCAAATGTCCGGCACCTAGGATGAGCTCAACGAGGTCTCAAAGATATACCACGCAAAAATTCTCATACAAAATGCCCTCAGGCAAGTACTTTGGGATATTCGCATCAATCGCCACTAGCGACGACTTAAAGTGCTCACGACTACGGGCTATTTGAGAATTTCGCAAACATAGCCTTGTGACGAGGACATTGGGAGATTTGCATCAATTGCTACTGGCGAGGTCTTTAAGTGCTCGCGACTACGAGCTGTTTGAGATATTCGCAGACATAGCCTTGACTTTAGGACTTTCGCATTAATTGCAAATGGCGAACTCTTCAAGTGCTTGCAACTATAGCGAGTACTTTGGGAGCGATATTCGCATCAATCGTCATAAGATCGTCACATATATTGTATGGTGTTAAATTTCTTGGTAGTCGTTGGTTATCAGCAGTCTCCTATCGGCGAAGTTTCACTATCGCCAGCTATATTGTTCGGGGGAAAGTTGAATTTACTCGATATTTGTTTCAGCGCCAAAGATAAAATTACCAAACTTATGGATCAACGTATTGAGTTTCAATTGAAACAATATACCGAAACGTTGTATGTACTCTGTTATATTCAGTGTCTGACAAACTGCCCTAGGCTATAGTACCGCGAATCAGGGCTATATCGAACGATATTTTCAATTATATACCTGTGTTTCTTTTGTTAGACGAGATAAAATCTAATTAGCTGATGCATTCTATCCACGAATTGATAGTAGATATTTGATTTTCGTTCCTACCTGAATTGGAACATTCTTGTCTATTTCGGTAGAGTGGATAATAATTTATCATTAATTAACTGCAAAATTTGATATAATCTTCTATGATGGCTGCTCTGATTAGACTACCAAAGGGCTCGCAAATGTAATCAGGAAGGGTATTCAATACCATTCAATGCGGTTTTTTCTTTTTCAATCATTTTGACGAATAAGCGAGATATTATACCTGAATACGATAACTTGGGACAGCCGGCGGTATTTAAAGGCCGAAGGAATATTTTGTTTAAAAACAACAACTCAATATTTATGTATGAATATTCATTAATTATTCATGTTTGTGATTACTTCAGGAGATCGCAACGGGAAATGCTTGTTCTTGTTACGTCCAGGATATCCTTGGGTTCTCGCAGAAATAAATGCTTATTCATTTCCTGTTAGAGATAACCTTAGGAATTCGCAATAATGGGGAATATTTCAAATCTGAGGCGGGATCTCCGCGATTTATTTCGGAAGACTCCAGAGAGTATTTCCCATGGTGACAGCCTATACAGGGTGATTCAGGTTTTAAGGCACAAACTGAAATGGAAGATAGATCTCATCATTTTAATCAAAAAAGTTTATATAAACATTAGTCCGATTTCTTTCAACAGCGAAGCTACAGGGGGTCAAAGCTTGATTATTTTTTTCTATTAAGTGAAATATCTCGCTTACATTTCAAGATATTATTTTGAAATTCGGTGTGGTCAATACTTCCTAGAAGATCATCATGTCAAGCCATTTGAAGATTATCAAAATCTACAGTATGATACGTTTTTGGGGGGAGAGGCTTTCTTATTCCCCCCAAACTTTTCCGTAGTACGCCTCTGGCATCTTTCAGTGATCAAATTGTGTGGATCGTTCAATTCAGAAGCTATTTTCGGTCTTCAATTTTTCTCGAGAAACGAACCGTTTTTGAGATAAATAAGCATATACGTTCTAAAACATGTTAATTTTGCCTATGTTTCTCTTAAATTTTATTCATCTGAAAAAAAAAACCTTGTCTTTCTACCCTCTGTATCCCCGTTACTGATCCAGATTGGACTCGTGATTGCAATTTTAGTGAGTACATTTCATTGCACTTTCAACGAAATTAGAATGTTAGCGAAACATAGGCAAAATTAACATGTTTCAGAACGTATATGCTTATTTATTTCAAAAACGGTTCTTTTCTCGAAGAAAATGAAAGAGCAAGAAAGCCTCTAAATTGAACGATCCACACAATTTGATCATTGAAAGATGCCAGAGACGTACTATGAAAAAGTTTGGGGAGGATAAAGAAGTCTCTACCTCCAAAACCCTGTGGATTTTAAACATATTCAAATAGCTTGAAATGATGATCTTCTAGAAAGTGAAGACCACACCAAATTTCAAAGCGATATCTTGAAAGGTAAGCGAGATATTTCAATTGATAGAAGAAAATAATTTAACTCTGACCCCCCGTAGCTCCGCTACTAAACGAGATCGGACTAATGTTTATATAAACTTTTTTGATTACAATGATGAGATCTATCTCCCATTTCAGTTTGTGCCTTAAAATCTGAATCACCCTGTATAGTGATTTTTGGCCTCTCGTAGGAGGATTTGGCATTTTAATCCTGAAGATCACTACTTACAGATATCGAGGAGAGTTCCGTGTTACCTGGGTACTCACCAACAGACGATCGTCGACCCTCGCCACCTCCTCGGCCCTGTCCAGGCTGAACTGCCTGCGCAGCACTTTTCCCACCCGCTGCCTCGGGCTGAGGCACCTGTAGTGGTTGTACGGGGTGCTCAGGTCCTCCTCCTCGATCTTCACGTGCCTGCGGAAGCCGCCCAGGGAGCTGGTGGAGGCCCCCAGGAGGGCGGCAGCCACTTCGGAGGCGGACACGGGCGTGCCCAGCACGATGGGAGTTTCGCTGGAGGAGCTTTTGACCATATGGTGGTCCACGGACCTTCGAAATCATTGTTTATGTTTTATTCCACCACCTTCTGCGCCATGTGATGGATTCATTGGAGTTGAATTCATAGGATTGAATAAACCAGCAACCAAGGAATCTCTATTGAGTACATCATCAGTCATTCTTACTGAAATACCCTTGATGATTAGCATATTAGATATCAGATGACGTCTTGGCAGAAAGATCTATACAAGAAATGTTTTTGATTCAATGTAGTTTTGATATTAGTCGACCAGGAAGCAGATAGAGGCTCCCAGAAGAGCGACGAATACCTTGAAGGCAGACACAGGTGTGCCCAGCACGATGGGAGTTTCGCTGGAGGAGCTTTTGACCATATGGTGGTCCACAGACCTTCGAAATCATTTAGATCAATCAGCACAGTTTATGTTTCTGTTCACTGTTAAAGAATTGAGCGATGAAAAGCGATGAAAAGCTTCAAGAGAGGAGAATATCGAACCCGCAAGAGTGTGGCGTACAGCCTGCTAGAGTTATGTAACCCAATCCTCTAGTTGAAAGCAATTTAGGCAACTGTATTACTCAGCCCGAGCTTGGTAGTATTCTTTGAAGTTTTCTCGATGATCAAGAAGCATCAAACGCTGCTTGATGAAACAGAATCGAGAGCGCAAAGACGCTGAGTTCCTAAGGAAACTCTCACCAAGAAATGAGTTCGAGTCCTACTTAGGACATCGATGTTTATGAAAACCCCGCACAAATTTCGACTCATTGGTTCTAGTGCTGGAACCAAAGAGGAAATTTTATAAAAGAAATAGAAATCTCTATTGTAAACACCTTCCTCCTATTCCCTCCATAGGATGATGCTAAATCAAGTTTTGTACCGTTTCCCCTCAAGAATATCGAATAATTGATGATATTATGTCAGAAGGATCGATGAGAAGTGTTTAACCCGCCCAGGGAGCTGGTGGAGGGCATCAGTCATGTGTCCCACACGATTTGGTCTCGCTGGAGGAGCTCCTCACCATGTGGTTTTCCACGGACCCTTCAGAGTCATGAAAATTTAGGTCTTTCAATGAAGATTTTTCAGTCCCAGTTGTTTCAAGATATTCTATATTTTGCAATTATATCATGAACTTGTGCACCCTCGAAAAGTTTGATAGTGAGTTCATTTCAAAGGACAATAGGTTAGTCACCAAAGGTATATTGAAAATCACAGCAGCAGCTCACGCTAAACCCATCTGGACAGGATATTTCGATACATGAAGAGGAGCCCCACGTTGGGCGCCATGTGATTGATGAATTCAGTGGTATTGGATTTATAGGATTAAATACACCAGGAACCAAGAAATCTCTATTGAGAACATCCCCACTCTTTTCTTCAAAAATCGAGTATCCTACTATCTCACCTTTACCTCTATTGGGCTATGTTGAAGAACCACCTCTTAGTAAGGGTATCTTACTCGGAAGCCAATGAATGGACCACCTAGTTTTACCGAAAGAGACGTGTAGTATGCACTCAGTCTGCACTAGAAACATGTTAATCGATGGAGTTGGCAATGACAATGTGGAAATCAACACGAAGGAATTCGATGTCGTCTTGTCAAAAAAATCGTCTAGAAGCGTTTTTATTCGAAATGGTTCTGATATTAATCGCAATAAATGGCATGGTCTGAGAGGAAGAAGCTGGAGGCTTTCAGAAGGAAAAGCTCTTGAATGAACCAACTGCCAATGAACGCTGTATTCTACACTATCCTCGACTCGCCCTGATGATGACCTTCTGCTTCCAGGTTACAACCTTCCTTCTTGAATTAGTTTTCCTATGCGGTGATCTTTCTGAAAGATTTCTCAGTGTGGCAAAGTCAGGTGATCGCCAGAACAACAATGTACACTGTGGTTATCAGGAGTACAGAGATTAAAACCTTTTTCATCACAATTCCATGAACTTGAACTTGATTATTGAGGTATGGTCATGTTGACCAAATGTTATGAGGTTGATCAAGCTCAAAGTATTGCGAAGTCATTAATTATCAGATCAAGCTTTCCTTCGTGCCTAAAAAGAAGTATTCCGTTTAAAATCCATTTTGAAAAAGTAGTGGAAGGATCTGTACCTGAACTCGGTCTTACGAGACCTAACCATCTCATTGCATGTTTTGAGTGTCGTTCAGGTTGAGTAGCAAAATTTTGCGATATGAAAGACCGTTTCACTGTTATGAAATATAGTATCCATACTCTGCTTTGATCGAAACATTCATGATCTCCATACCTCTGACCGAAATCATCGATGGTCCTGACCAAGCTGGAGAACTTTGAGTGCTCCATGTTCCTCATGAATGACGGATTGATTCTCGGCGACTTATTAACGTGATCGTCGGCTGGTAGATGCCTCGAATCCAGCGAGGCGGAATCCTCCAAGTTGTCGTACGAATTGTGATTCAGCGAGCAGCTTATAATGAGGCTCTCGTCCAGACTGGAATATCAAAGGATGGATTAGGATTGCGAGTGAATAGTGCGACGTTTGTTTGAAGTTGAGTTCATCGTTTGATATGACCAAATTGCATGACAATATCTATATAACACAATGGTCCAAGAACGTCCTCATTCGGTACAACTCATATCCAGATTGAATAGACCTGAAATCATGTCTCATCCCACTAAGCAAAGTTGAGGCAATGTTTGAGCAATTAGTGAAACGGACGTTCAGCAATATTGCAAAGGTGGAGTTTGATAATGTAGCGTTGCAGCAATATAACATGTGGCTGTGACATTACTGGAACGTTTCATTCACAAATTCACATTTGAAATATCACTGATAGTCCGGTTTAGTAATTGCTACAACCTTGCATCAACATAGCTTCCAAATTTGCTTAGTGGGATGGATCTGCTATAATAGTCCAAGAGATGAGTAGGAAGGTATTATCCGATGAACCACACGAGTTTTCCTGCGGTCCGTCGGATCGATATTCTGATCCATTGGTTCGATATTCTGGTCCATCGGATATAATCTTACACCAGGGGCGGAATATAATCAGAAATATTGACGCAGACTGATTGCATCGCGGCACTTTTGAATATTCGCGAAGAAGACATAATTTCCTTGTATCTCCATTTTATTTCAACACGTTTCAAAGTGACAAAGGTATGTCCAGAATTGAAAAAAAAAGCTGTGTTGAGGATTTGTTCTAGATCGAGGTGTGGCACTGGTAGGGTTTTGAGATCTACGAATCAACTGGTATCGGATGGCATATCAAATCGCTCAAATTACCTTACAGTAAAGCTAAATTTCTCAATAATTTTGCATAGACTGATTAATATCTCGATCAGGGTGAGACGGAATTCTCCTAGTTGTCGTACGAATTGTGATTCAGCGAGTAGCTTATAATGAGGCTCTCGTCCAGACTGGAACGGCAATGAAGGATGGATGAAAGTCGAGAGTGAACAGGGCGGCGTTTGTTTGAAGTAAAGTTCATTGTTGGATATAACCTGATTGCATAACGATCTCGCACACTAATTACCTTGCTAATCACACTATGACCCAAAAATGTCCCTATTCGAAAGTCCTGTACATCGCACATCTCAATCGGTGTATACTACTTGTACCACCAAATTAGTGTTTATAGTCGCAAATAAATAATGACAACTGTTGGTGGACTATTGATTGAGTAATATATCTAGTAGGTAGTTGCGTTACATGAATACGTAGTATCACCAGTAAATATCACGGTTTGCCAACGTAGCTGAAGGAACTCATATATACAATAACGTAATGCATACGTCCCGTCAACATGTAAATTACGTACAGATGTGATACACAGTAATATCTGCGAATCGCCTTCATGTAACACAGATTCAGGAAATTCCATAATGATTATAGTAAGGTAACTCGATAGGAGTCATGAAAATTATCTTTGAAAAGCTCGATCTTGACTATTTGAGACCTAAGGATGAATTTCATGATGCACTTCTATCTACCAGAGTCCACAAATCATTGGCCTCTGATAATTCAGAAGAAAACTTTTCGATCTGAAAATGCAGGTAATGCAACTGTTATTTCTTTTTTTTTATAAGCCGGTTTGTAAGAGGACAAAACTGATGCTTCAATATCCAGAAATATTTTTGGAACTCTTCATAGCTGAGAGGTTAACAGTGTTGGTTCCTCGTTGAATTATATTATAGAAGATTTTTCACAACCGGCCATATATTTATCCACTATCATCTATTCATTTTCAACTCTTGTAGGAAACTGGTTGAAGTCTAATCTTGAGATTCATTGTTACAGACACCATGATTCACTTGGAAGCTTCAGTACTTCGTTATTCATAGTCACTACCACGACACGAGATACAATTTATATACTTTCTTATAATTACATCACCTCTACAATGGGGAAGACCACTGAGGAAAAAATCCGTGCAAACCTCTTTCAATCGACGAATCATGATTTACATTTTATGTACAATCAATATTATGAGTTGAAGTTGAAGGGAATCGAATCTATATCGTTTTGAAATCAGCATCTTTCATTCGATATTTCAAACAGCCAAATATGATGGTGGAGTCGTGACGTATTAGTCCCGAACTGTAGCTATCTCTCTCTGATACCTCGTCATTCTGCAGTGTTGCAGTGTAATTGGTCAGTTCAAGGACAATAGGCGTGTTGGGACGAAGACGTCGCACCAGTCACACCAATGAATTGATGAAATTTCAAATGGCGCAGGAATTGTGTGTTTTGAAATGGACATATACTAATTTATTTTTTTCATCGTCTTAGCATGAATAAAAAAATTCAAAATTAATTCACTGGTAGGTTTTCAGTATAGAGTTCACGATAATGTCGTTTTAAAAAATCAGTGGTCTTCCCCATTATATTTCCGATCAGCTATGAAACACCCTGTATAGAGAGGTAGCCAATAATTGAACCTAATTCCCAACCCTTGATATCAACATGAACTATTAATTGCATCCAAAAGTTTCCCTATGCCTGTTTGATCTATGGTATTGAAGATTCCTGTTTACAATTCCATTTCCAATATTCAATTTATAGGTATAGACCCTCAAGACTGAATAACGAGTTGGAGAATATCTATATTACTTTCTCTGATCTTTGAAATTCATGTTACTTTATGAACCTGAATAGCATTCCATCAAATCATTGAATTCTGTATTGAAATATTGGTATAATTGAGAAAGAACAATTCACAATAAATTCGAACAATACGAACACTTTTTATTATGTGAACTTACCCATGGGACTCTCTGTTGGCATGAAACAAGATCAATGCAAAATAAAAAGAGTAATACTCAGTGGTCATTTCAAACTGAAGAAGTAGCTGAGTCTTCAACAATGTTCAAGGATAGTAATATATATTCTTATTTCAATCGCAGTGATGATATTGGTTGCACGTGTTTTTCAAAATTCGATAGGACGAAACGACTACAGGAGGTAAAAACAAGCGAATAGCTTCCTGATACTTAATTTCTCTTCCTGAATAGAGAAGTCTATCGTAAAAGTGTATTCTCTGAAGTTTTGTAGATGTCATAAAGACCTTTGGGATATTAAAAAAGTTTCACAATGACCGACGTAACCCATTAGAAACCTATCGAGAAGTATCAGAGGGGCTGCGAAGTAATATAATTTGATGCGTCGAGACCAATATCCATAGGAAATATACTCTTGTTTTTGCATTTAGATTACCTTATCTGTTTCTTTCAATGTCAAAGCTATTCGTGTGTGTTTTCAAGGTCACTTGAGATATCAGCAGCAACTTCTATCGTGAAATACAAATGAAGTTGATTCACTTATGGTCATGCAAGATACGATACTACCGACTAGTACTGGCAATTATATTTTTTTCCGTCCCAATTAAATTGTGAAATTGTAGAGGGGCCATTAACCTATATTTCAAACATATATTGATTTTCTCATCATTCTGATGATTTCTTCTTCAATTCTGTTGGGATGCAGTATCAATAATTCATCAATCTAATTCGAATCACACGAAGATGAGAGTTGTTATGAAGTCGTTATATAGTACAACTTTGTTCAACGTGTATCACAGTGGTCACAGCGACTACAATACGACTTCTACATCTCCGGTGTCGGGATGTCTTCAAGACGTTCTCAAATCATTCGATGCTTGTACATAGCGTAGTGATCACAACTCTTCGATACACAAACGATATGGCATCCATGTTTTTTGTAAGAATGAGTTCAGTCAAAAAATAATAATCAATTTCAACTTTATATTAAATAATGACTATCATAATGTGGCAGTCATTTGTAGAAAGTATGATAAACATATTGTGATACATTAGATTTTCAGTTCGTCACCTTCATGCATAATGATATAATGACAACAAATGACTACACAGCGACGAACTAATGATATTCTAATACAACTGTTCTGCGACTGGCTTGTGTGAGTTTTCATCAGCAAATCAGTCCGACTACATTATAACGTCGATGAAACGTTGTAAAAGTGAGCCTTTTTATCATATTGCCATGCATACCTACCGACGTTAGAGCATAGTACAAGACATAAGTCACGAACTTTTGAACATGGTCTTGTAGATTTCGGAACAACTCATTTCTAACCTATGCGTCGATCTTCACACGAAGTGACGTAACTAACAAAATTGTGAAAATCAAGTTACGCCGATAAAATAACTTGTCTGGCATGCCTGCTTGACCTCACAAAGTGGCGTATCTGTAATCCGTATAGTATCCTCGTAAATCCATATTGAATTACTGTTGTATCTGACAAAATGCCTATAAGGTTTCACACGAAAAAGCGTATGTTACTTACGTCAGTTCGTGTGAACCAATTGTATCGTTACGGAATCTGATGGGTTAATAGTCGCGGCGTCGTATCTACCCCATACATGTGTCAACTTGTCTGTAGGCTGTTCGCTATTCCTAATTCCTCAGTTGAATTCAGACTTTTGGCAGTATAGCAGTTGAAAGCAGTTGTACCTACGTCCTGAATTCTTGAAACTGTGAAATTAGTGAAATTCTCAGTCTATTGATAATAATTCAATTATTGTCTTTCGGGTTTTTATATTTACATTTTTCATAGTAGAAAATGGACGCGTTGGTATTTTGGGACGATAATACCAAAAATGTAGTGAACGCAAGTGAACTGAAGACATGTGACTCTCGTAAGATAGCAGTAGGAAAGCGCGCTTTTTTGAAACAAACCACGGACAGAGCGAGGAAGATTCTGCTCATAGCGCCATCGACAGAGCTGTTACTACCGCTGGAAATTTATTTGTTCCTTCACAACTCTACCCCATAATGCGACTGGCATGAAGGAAGCAACCTTATACGGTGATTCCAATGGCGTATAATGATTTTAAAGACTTCAAGTTGTTGTCCAAGGATCTGAGAATCTTAACTGTTAGAACCAGCGAAAACAGCAGGAGCATAAATTGGAAAAGTTTAATGGAAGTGATGGCAAAGCAAACTTCACCCTATACACTATTTTTCAAGAATAGTCATCTAGAAGCTGAATATGACTCTATAGTTTTAGAACGTCTGAAAGCTAGTGTGTCAGAGTTAGAACTTTTCCAATTACCTAAACAAATAACCTCCAAAAATAACTAACAAAAAGTATAAGGACTTTTAGTGTCACTCTGTCAAGGAGAAACTCCTGTGGTTCGATTAAAAGAGTATCAACATTTTTTTCTATCTCTACCCCATCTTGAGAAAGACTAAAATGAATTAATTATGATGAAAAAATGGACAAATGTTTATTTTTTGAGTTCTAAACACATTTTTATGAATAATTCATTGATAAATCTTACTCAGCTACAGAAATTTTGCATCATTATTTTGAGAAAAACTTTATTGTTCATTAGGTTTACTGCTTTGTTGTTTCAAGAGTATTTTTTTTGTTGAAGAAAATCTAGGCAATTACTGATTATTATTTCATGGCTTGTTATTCTCTTACCTCACTATTATAATTCTGCTTTTTTCTATCTTATTTTGTAACATATTAAACACCTGCTGATTTATATCCACCCTGTATATTTTCGTTAATGAAGTCTGAGCAAAACTACAGGTTTTACTGTCTATTGTAGCAGCGAGCTGATCCATATTATACGATTGTATTGAAATGGCGTATCTTACAGGCAATATAATTTTGTCTCACACGAAGTGACGTATCTACATGTTTTATTTTTTTTTCGAAGAATTTGAAAATATTTGAAGATTTATTTGATGGATAAATGAATGTTCATTATCAATGAACACAATATAAAAAAATCTCAATCAATGTTCGATTACTTTGTAATTTACGGCAACCAAATTGTCGTGATTTTTCGTTTTTAGCCTTTGCTGTAAAATTAAGTAAATGTCACTTACGCCACTTCGTGTGAAGACCGACGAATGTGTGCTACTTGGGCTGCCACTAATATGGAAACTTAACCAGTAATAATAAAATGATCATCTCAACCTTTAGGCAATTTGAGTTTTTTTACTTCACACTTCGCAACCCACAGGTATCGTTCGATGAAAGAAGTTTCGAATTCAATATGAGGTTATTCACTATTTCTTTGAGGTTGACTTTGGCAATCTAATTGATCTGACTTACTCAACAGATGGAGGATCTGGTAGAGGCTTATCAAACCCGGATTTTCCTAGCAGCCAGTAGGTGTCCATGGTGCCTTTGCCTTTGATTTCCGTAGGCCCCCTGTATTCGATCTGGTATCCTCCAGCCTTCTCCAATCGGATTTTCGTTGCTTCTGACATGTGGATACGCCAAGCCGAACCTGGACAACAATTTTGAACATAACCGCGGAATTCCACATCTGATTTCCAACTTTATAGAAGAAAATTTACAGTTGTTTCGATAGAAATAAATTTAATAGCCTCCTAGGTGAGTCGAAATCCATTGAAAGTATGTTGTGAGTTCAGTAATTAACCACCTTCAGTCAATAATTTAAAACAAGAGGAGGTACGATAACGCCATAATTATCACTGAATATTTAGAATATCCCAAGGTCTATTTGGATTTGATAGAAGAAGTTCATTGAGTGCGAATATAGAAGTAACTATATTGAATAATCATATAGTTTATATAAGTCGGTGGATAAAGCACAACTTCGGATGATGAAAATGTTATTCATTTTGGGATCAAACATATTTTACACAATGGTTTGTTTTTTCGGAATAGTTTTGAAACTTCAGAAATTGTTTGCGCCTGGCTGAAATGTGTTATTGCTTTAATTCAATTCAGGTGAGAGTACAGGAAACTTGAGAAGTCGGTATGTTGTTCAGAGCTCCTATGTACTGGGTGTTCCATAAATAGCGTGCAGCATTTTGGCAGTAGATTCTGCGAGCAAAACTTTCAGGAAATATGGGTCGAAAAATGGTTCCTGACAATGGTTCTGAGAAGGACGCGCACCCTTGGATATGGTTTTGAATAACTATCTCCGGAACAGTTCATGACAGAAAGATGCAATTTCGGGAAATGACAGATATTTTCATGATTGTTGAGATGACGCAACATATACTCGGAAATAGTATTCCATATGTGAGTCATATGGGGCAGGTGTAGGGTTGATATCACTTCAAATTTTCTGCTACTGGTATGCTGTATTCATTTCATAGGTATAATGCTGCTTGGTGATATAATGCCAAATTCTAGACTTCTTCACATAATAAGAGCTTATTTGTAGAACTATTTAAGAATTTGCCTTTTCGAGTGGAATCTCTTTCAAAATTACCTTGTATTCAATGAGTCATATAAGATTGCAAAACATGATTCACATTAGAAGCATGTGTAGCATATTGCAGGTCCATGTGGGTAACTATTACCTACTATATTTTAGAAAATAATAAATCCAGAAGATACACTACACACTGTTTTATCACTATCCAACCAATTCAGGAGATAGTTATGAGATATTTATGTAATGAGTGAGTGAGTGACTCATGGTTTTGATATTATACTTGTACCACAGCTTGATTATCACTATGAATACGCTATACAGAGTGTAAATTTGAAAACTTCCAATGCGAATATCTCGCGAATGAAAAAAGTTAGAAGAACGCCGTTTGGCAAAAATGCTAAAGAGTTAAGGGGAACTAGAACCACCATATTTCGGTCAAGGGATGAGTCACCCCGTCGGCGCGACACACCCCAACTTTGAAATGTCAAATGGCACTACCTCTTTGTGATGCCTCAAATAAACAGTCTCAGTCAGTAGTACTCACCTGTACAAGACTTTCTTTCCACCCACTACAGGGTGTACGAAAAATATAAAGTCGAATAAAATGAAATGAATTGTGTTAAAAGGATATTTTATTTGATCAGATGTTCAAAATACATTCCATTCTGTTGTAAGCAATAGTATAATCGATGTTCAAATGCCATTCTAACATTTTGGAACACATCTCTTGGATTATATCGGCATTCTGCATTTTATTTTATTCGACTTTATGTTTTCCGTTCACCCTGTAGTGGGTGGAAAATAAGTCTTGTACAGGTGAATACTACTGACTGAGACCGTTCATTTGGGGTATCACAAAAGAGGTAGTGTCATTTGACATTTCAAAGATGGAGTGTGTCGCGCCGACGGGGTGACTCATCCCTTTACTGAAGTATGGTGGTTCTAGTTCCCCCTAACTCTGTAGCACTTGTGCCAAACGGCGTTTTCCTAACTTTCTTATTCAGCGAGATATTCGTATTGAAAGTTTTCAAATTTAGACCCTCGACTTTGTTTTTCGTACACCCTGTAGTGGGTGGAAAAAAAGTATTGCACAGGGGAATACTACTGACTGAGACCGTTCATTCGAGGTATCACAAAAGAGGTAGTGCCATTTGACATTTCAAAGTTGGGGTGTGTCGCGACAGGGTGACTCATCCCTTCACTGAAATATGGTGGTTCTTGTTCTTCCTAACACTTTAGCATTTGTGCCAAGGCGTTTTTCTAACTTTTTTATTTCGCGAGATATTCGCATTGAAAGTTTCCAAATCTACACCCTGTATATGAGGAACTGCGAAGAATATAATTATGTGGCTGCCAATGGAATCAAGATGAACCGATTTGAAATTTTGAGCACTCAAGAAGAAATCTTGTTTTTTTTCATTTCAACTGAAAATCATTCCTAATTGACTCAGCTGATAGATACCCAATTTTTTTACCAATATCTGATTCAATTTTCTTGACAAGAAACTAATCTGCTTGTCTAGTTGTACGGTTTTGGTGACTACTATCAATTTGGATAACCAAATTTGAATGCTTTTGACAATATTTACCTGAATGACTGAATGAATAATGATAATTTGAATCTATGGTGAATTCATATGTGCTTTAAACATTTATAACCCGAATATTTTGAAGTACTTAGAGTATTACTACACCAGACAGCATCTTAAATTGAATGTGAAATTATTAATTTATCATTCAATATCGTTTTTCTCTGATCACATCAGGCATTTCTATGGCTTATCGCCTTCTCATCTGAGCATGGTGAGATCAGTAAACTCTCAATACATCATCTTCTTGTCCTAAACCATGAAGGTGACAACAACAACAAGAAAATCTGAAAAATTCGAAAATAATGAATCGAAAAGTTATAAAAATAGCTACAGGGTCTAATCAGTAGATAGCAAAGTATCAATTTCATCCATTTCGTAATAAAGTCATGTGTTTTTTTACTTCAATTTAAAATCTTGAGATATGTATGCAATTTTCTATACTTATTATGTGGTAATTCATTGAGCTAGAGCAGCATGAGTAAATTTTGTTTGTCCAGTAATAGAAGTAGCAGAGTCAAGATGAAATGAGTTTAATTGTCTCGAGTGATGACCATGAATTTTTGAGTTTCTTATCAAAACAAAATTGGATTTCTGATTATTGTTTATGATATTGAAATATGAAACTTTAAGAGAATCTATTTCATTCAATTCATCCAATGAACATTTTTCTGTTATCGCATACAGATCATCTGTTGGGATATCAAATGAGAGACGATACAATACTTTCATTGAATCATGCTCTTCATAGATGCACATTCAAAGGGCGGAAACTATCCAATATCAAGTATGTTTCGACCCACTTTTATGATCACCTCAAAATCCCGTGCCGAAATTATCGCTTGCACACTATGTATAGAGACCTTTACCTGTCGATTCCATTCTGGATGCGGTATTTACAGTGTCGCCAAAAAGGCAGTACCTGGGCATCGTGAGACCGACTACGCCAGCGCAGCACGGTCCGGAGTGGAGCCCTATTCTCAGTCTCAGGGGTGTCTTTGGTAGGTGTCTGATGCGGAACCTGCCGCTTTGGTGCAGCAGATCTAGAGCCATGGTAGCCACCTGAATTAAATAACAGGTTTGCCACTGCGTATTGTCACGTTTAAATAGATGGTTAGTCCATCCATATCGATTTGAAAGGAGTTAGCTTGGTTTGCGAGAGGTAATCGAATAGGCACTAATATAGTTTAGGGGTAAATGAAAGTATGAGAATACACAACAATATTTATTGAAGCATGGGACATTATGGGTAGTGATGATAAATATGAATCAACACTAGGACGATTTCTTCATTATCTTTTCACAATCCTGCAAAAAACAATGTTTGAACTCTGGGATGGTCGTTTTCTTTACTTCCTTCGGCGGTCATCTTGAAGCCCATGCACTTCAAACTTGAGGTAAGTAAATTTGAAGCACTGCAATGTCTCAAGCATCTGACAAAAACCCCTGAGCAATTGTTCGAATCATTAGTACAAGCCAAGAGACATGGGAGATATAGAACAAGAGAGTTTTGACCACCATCTCGGCCGCTATCTTGGAAACCGGACTTCCGGTCCAAATTTCGCTTTGGCAACAGGCAGATTCGTATTCAGCCGGGTCGACATACCTTAAAAACGTTGTTTCCCCAATTGTTACATGAAATGCTTCTTGCATTGTTAATTTTTGAAAACGTGCCTAGTCTATTAAGAAGGATGAGTTCTTGGAGCACTCGCCAAGTATCTGAGCGCGAACCACAAACTGTGCGCATTTTTAGTTTGTAGTTCGCGGCCAGATACTTGGAAAATGATTGAATAACTCATCGTCCTTAGGAGCGCATATACGTTGGTGGCTGATCGCTCCTATCAATGGTGCTTCGAAATGTGTTACCGCTGTAGCACTTCTGACTTTATTCGCCGGAAATGTGTATCAGGGCCGGCTGGCAGCCGCCTGGGCACCTGGACGGCAAGAAAGTAATGTTGGGCCGATGGTTGGTGGTATCTGGGTAATGACGTCTCTTTTTTCGATAAACTCAACATGAAAAACTTGAATCAGTGCCTTGCGAAATTCTTTACCGCGACTCCCAGCGCCGGTTTGACACCGGCTCACCGGGCATCTGTCCGGTTGCCCGCCGGTCCTGTTCATCATTATATCTTTTATCTACAACTATGGAGTAATAATTCATTACAACATTCAATGACATACATTATTGTGATGAATCGAGTGATAAGAGTAATAATGACAGTTGGATGGCGTAATGATCTGACATTCCATCAACTGGTCAAATTCAACTAGGTAGGAATTCGTTCTACTAGTTTTTTTTAAGCACACCACTATACTACTGTTTGTGAAATACAAGCAAATTCAAAAGACTCACCTTACATGGTTCTCATAGTGTAAATCACCCTAATTCTACAAATACACGGAAAAATGAGAATTCACTGTTTTTCATTCTCAACAGTCACTACCATCATGAGTAACCATGACCATAAAATAGGACTTGACACTTGCAGATTGGCTCACACTTATGTG